GGTACCATCATCATCCTCTTCATGAGGTTTTAGCCGCGCGGCAGGCCCTTGACGATGTGGGAGATGTAGGACGCCGTCGAGTATTCGGCGCCCGCCATCCGCATCTCAGCCAGGATCTGTCGAGCACGGTTGCAGTTGTCCGTCGCCGCGTCCTGCTCGCCCATCCGAATGTGTGTCATCTTCTCCTCCAGTTGTCCGATGTACAGGTTGTCCCTGACCTGGTACGTTGACAGGATGAAGTGCCATGCCTGGTGACCAGCATCCAGTCGCTCTCGACAGTTCCTGAGCACCAGCTGCACCACCGGCGAGCAGCACCTCGAGATGACCATGAAGGTGAGCAAGTGAGCCGCACAAAACTCCCCGCGTAGCCCGACATCGTCCACGGGCGGATTTGGCACTGTGCCGTCTGCGAAGCCCTTCTGCCCGACGACCTCCAGCTGGGGTTCTATCGACTCCCTCCAGGTGATGAGGTCCCGTCGACCTTGCAGCGGTGCGACGATAATCCAGTCCGGCGAGAACTTGAACTAGCCATACGTCGGTGCAATCTCGCCCGCCGTCACATGCGTCGTCACCGAGAGCCCTCCACCGCTTCGTAGAGGAGAGCGACGTCGACCATCGACGTCGGCACATGATCTGCCTGCAGCCGCCGTCGTCCGCTGCACTCGCGCCCGACTCCTATCGACGCCACCGTCGACCTTGATCACTCCTCTCTGCTTCGTGCCATTGTTGCCGCTTACTCGTGCACCGACGTCGACATCGTCGTCGACGCCACCTTCGTTTCGCACCGGTCGAGGAGAAACAGGACGGGAAGGGTGTTCCGTCGCCTACTGCGACCGGATGCCCAACTCAACGATCAGCAAGGGGATCGTCCCTTACTCGCCATCCGCGTGGCGTTTCCTCGCATCAGCCAAGCGTGCCTCCAAGGTGTCCGCTACGCCCGCATTAGCTACGGGGTCGACCATGGTGACTATCGCTGCTGCCTGCCTACGAACGACTTAGTAGGTGCAAAAGTCGGCTCCTATCTGAAGGTAATCTGCGGGGCCGTCCACGCTCACCGCACCATGCGGAGATTCACTCTACAACGGTAGTGAGCTAGACTACGGGGGTTGGCACGAACTACTAAGAGTGATCGTGGCTTTGCCTAGTTCCTTAGTGCTTGCACAATCACGGGAGAAATCGGCAAGAGTTTCCACTAGCAAAGCTGGAATTACAGAATGATTGAACAAGCAATGACAACAATGACTACATCAGGCACCTAGCAACTCAGCACCTTGCAACTCTGCAGCTAGCCTGGTCGACCGACAGCACAGCATGGTCAACCGCCTGCCAGTGTTGCGTAGAGGAGCCGCGCTAACACTGCAGAAAGGCGACCTGCCAACACAGCAGGTCGACGGTGTGCCAACGCTGCAGCAGAGCGGCTGTCTAGCGTTGCCCCGTAGAAGACAGCAGTGCGCACGCTCGCAGGTGCGCGCAGACGATTGGCCCGACTTGCACCGTTATGCATCCGTCGGCTGTTGTCTGCGCCTGACGAGCCACATCGACTTCGGGATACCAACCCAAAGTCGCCTTCGCCATCGCGACCTCGGCGACGTTCGCGTGCCTCTGCAGAACTCGCCGAGGATGTTACCCGGTCGACCTGGACAACCCCAGGTGCTCCGGTCGACCACCAAGTGCCTCTGGTCAACCACCGGGTCCCTCTAGTCGACCACCAGGTGGCCTTGGTCGACCACAGCTCCCGTCGAGCTATCCATCGACCAGAACTGTCAGCTGTTGTCGCCGAGCTCCCCTCGTCGACCGCTGCTCTCTTGTCAGGTCAACGGACTGCTCCGTTGACCTCCCAGTCGAACTGCAGGTCGACGGACTGCTCCATCGACCTCCTGGTTGAACTGCCCCCCCTGGTCGACAGCCCACCCGTCGCCCAGACCAGTCAGTTGCAGCTGTCAAGCTCCCTGGTCGACAGCAACACCACAGCGGTCCCCTGCAGCTCGACAAAGCCTGTCGAGCAGCTCTCCCACTATGAACGGTCGGCTGCTACTCCTGTACATCCGACCAAGTCGTCGGCGTTGCCCAAGCGAGGGCGGGGCCAACTCTCCACTCCTGTTAACAGAAACGATGCAGCTACGAATAGGAGTGGCTAGTAAAAGAGTCAGAAAAAAGAGAAGGAAATGTGAAGAATGGAGAAAGAAAAAATGGGCACGAAAACCAAGACAAACGTCACTAGATGCGGAATCTATTAAACGGAAGGAACAACTCGATAAAATCTTATGAAATGGAATGAACGAGATCAGTAAGGAACGAACTGTTGTAAAGGACTCTCCTCTAATTTGCAGGAACTGGGATTTGTACTATTCACTAGAGCTCTGTCTTAGCTTTCCAACGAGCCGTCAATTGCGTCGATCGCCAAGTATCGAGCGAGTTATGGCCTCTAACGTGAAAGCTATGCTCTAGGTTGAAGGATAGGATGCTCTATGGAATTTGTGTCGAGTTGAACCGTCTATAGGAAACCCTGATTTTCAGTATGAAACATGCAAACAAGGCAAGCATATTTATAGCTACTCAATACATCGAGTCCCGCATGTAATATCTAGTCACTACGAGATGTGTCGCGAACATTCGTGTAACATTTCAAACGGGGTGAAATTCGGTACTTGAAATTCACCGAATGCTCCTTCAATCTCGAATGTTCCTGATGCTACCATGTGGCACTGAATTGGTGGAGTCTTCCGAAGTCAAACTTCAACCCCACGCAAACCTGCAGCTCACTCGAATGTTAGCACCAAAAACAACACCGCTTGGTGGTTGGGGGCAAAAGTCGGCTCCTATCTGAAGGAAATCTGCGGGGCCGTCCACGCTCACCGCACCATGCGAAGATTCACTCTACAACGGTAGTGAGCTAGACTACGGGGGTTGGCACGAACTACTAGGAGTGATCATAGCTTTGCCTAGTTCCTTAGTGCTTGCACAATCACGGGAGAAATCGGCAAGAGTTTCCACTAGAAAAGTTGGAATTACAGAGTTGTTAAACAAGCAATGACAACAATGACTACATCAGGCACCTAGCAACTCTGCAGCTAGCCTGGGCGACCGACAGCACAGCATGGTCAACCGCCTGCCAGCGTTGCGTAGTGGAGCCGTGCCAGCACTGCAGAAAGGCGACCTACCAATACAGCAGGTCGATGGTGTGCCAACGCTGCAGCAGAGCGGCTGTCCAGCGTTGCCCCGTAGAAGACAGCTGTGCGAACGCTCGCAGATGCGCACAGACGACTGGCGCGACTTGCACCGTCGTGCATACGTCGGCTGTTATCTGCGCCTGATGAGCCACATTGACTTTGGGATACCAACCCGAAGTCGCCTTCGCCATCGCGACCTCGACGACGTTCGCGTGCCTCCGCAGATTTCGCCGAGTAGGTTACCGGGTCGACCTGGACAACCCCAGTTGCTCTGGTCGACAACCAGGTGCCCCTGGTCGACCACAGCTCCCGACGAGCTACCCCCTAGTCGATGGCCCACCCGTCGCCCAGACCAGTCAGTTGCAGCCGTCGAGCTCCCTGGTCGACAGCAACACCACAGCGGTCCCCTGCAGCTCGACGAAGCATGTCGAGCAGCTCTCCCACTGTGAACGGTTGGCTGTTACTCCCGTACATCCGACCAAGTCGTCGGCATTGCCCAAGCGAGGGCGGGGCCAGCACTCCATACCCGTTAACACACGAGACGTTTACGCTGCACTCGCGGATGCTTCAGTTACTCTTGCATGGGTTCCCTAGTACACCTCGTGTACAAGCAACCCAACATGCGCAGAAGCTCCAGATCTCGCATACTGCTGAGGGTCGGCTGCATCTCCCACACACTCGACCACGAAGTCAGTTTTGCCCAAGCGAGGGCGGGGCCAACTTCGTTCAACAGACGCCGACTGAGCGGCCTCTTCTGCATTGATGCGCAAACTTCGCCCCTGGTGGTTTTGGCAAAATTTGACATGCATTGTCAAACATATATGCCTAGTTATATCTAGGCTTAGTTTATGTGTTTATAGTTGTCTAAGCTATAGTGGGTTTAGCCTTAGGGGGTACAAAGTTTCTCTCGACATTCTACTTGTACCCCTTCCCTTTTCCTAGTCAATCATTCTCGCCTAAGATTCTGACATGGTATTAAGAGCAATTAGTCCTAGGACCTAATGCTAATGGGCCCACCACCTACTGCCCTGCTAGCCTAGGCCCCGGCCCGTCGCCCCTTGGCGTCGCCCCTAGCCCCTAGGCTCGGCCCCTTGGCCCCGTCGCCTCGGCCCCGCTGGCCCCGTCGACTTCGTCGCCCGCGCCCGGCCCGTACCTAGCCCGTCGCCCGGCCCGTACCTAGCCCGTCGCACGGCCCGTACCTAGCCCGACGCCCGGCCCGTACCTAGCCCGTCGCCCGGCCCGTACCTAGCCCGCGCCCGGCCCCGTCTCCTGCCCGCGCCCGGCCCGTATCTAGCCCGTCGCCCGGCCCGTACCTAGCCCGTCGCCCGGCCCGTACCTAGCCCGTCGCCTGGCCCGTACCTAGCCCGTCGCCCGGCCCCGTCACCTGCCCGCGCCCGGCCCGTACCTAGCCCGTCGCCCGGCCTGTACCTAGCCCGTCGCCCGGCCCGTACCTAGCCCGTCGCCCGGCCCGTACCTAGCCTGTCGCCCGGCCCCGTCTCCTGCCCGCGCCCGGCCCGTACCTAGCCCGACGCCCGGCCCGTACCTAGCCCGTCGCCCGGCCCGTACCTAGCCTCGCGCCCGGCCCGTACCTAGCCCGCGCTCGGCCCCGTTCCTAGCCCCGCGCCCGGCCCGTACCTCGCCCGCGCCTGGCCCCGTACCTAGCCCGCGCCCGGCCCGTACCAAGCCCGCGCCTGGCCCCGTCCTTCGCCCAGCGCCCGGCCCCGTCTCTTGCCCGCGCCGGGCCCCGTACCTAGCCCCGCGCCCGGCCCCATTCCGCGCCCAGCGCCCGGCCCCGTACCTGCCCAGCGCCCGGCCCCGTCGCCCCTAGCCATGGCCCCGTCGCCCCTAGCCATGGCCCCTCGCGACCTGCCGCCCCTAACCGCGGCCCCGGTGCCCTGTTGCGCCATGGTGGGTGAGGGGGTGGCAAGAGGGGGTTCCTCCTGCCCGCGTGCCCTTCAGTCGCACGCGCAGCTCCGCCCCCGCCCCCCTCCCCCCCCTCCCCCCCCTCCATGGGGATGGCGGGGAGAGGGGGAGGAAACTTGGAGGTTCAGGGGGAGGCAGGAGGGGATCTGCAGCACCAGGTCCCCCACCTTTCTCCTACCTCCCCCTGCTGCGGGAGCAGCAGAGGGGGGGAGGGGACCTGCAGCACCTGCCCCCCCCCCCCGCCCCCCCCCTTCTCCTCCATCTCTCTGCTGCGGGTGCAGCAGTGGGGGGGAGGGTATGGGGGTGGCGGGTGTGGCCAACCTGCTGTCGCCCGAGCGGCTCCTGCACCGCCCCTTCTCCTACCTCCCCCCTGCTGCGGGTGCAGCAATGGGGGGGGAGGGGATCTGCGGCACCAGCCCCCCCCCCCCCCCCCCCCCCCCCCTCCATGGGGATGGCGGGGAGAGGGGGGGGGAAGCTTGGAGGTTCAGGGGGAGGCAGGAGGGGATCTGCAGCACCAGGTCCCCCACCCTTCTCCTACCTCCCCCTGCTGCGGGTACAGCAGTGGGGGGGAGGGGATTTGCCATCCCCCTGCTGCGGATGCGGCAGTGGGGGGAGGGGACCTGCAGCACCAGCCCCCCCCCCCCCCCCCCCCCCCCCCCCTCCTCTCCGCCCTTTTCTCCTCTCCCTCCCCCTGCTGCGGGTGCCGCAGTGGGGGGGAAGGGATCTGCCATCCCCCTGCTGCGGATGCAGCAGTGGGGGGAGGGGACCTGCAGCACCAGCCCCCCCCCCCCCCCCCTCTTCTCCTCCACCCTTGCTGCGGGTGCAGCAGTGGGGGGAGGGGATTTGCAGCATCAGCCCCCCCCCCCCCCCCCCCCTCTCTCCGCCCTTTTCTCCTCTCTCTCTCCCTGCCGCACCCTGTGTTGGGAGGGGGGGGAGCTTGGAGGTGCAGTGGGGGGGAGGGGATCTGCAGCAGCAGTGGGGGGAGGGGAGTTGCAGCATCAGCCCCCCCTCCCCTTTTCTCCTCCACCCCTGCTGCGGGTGCAGCGGTGGGGGGAGGGGATCTGCAGCCCTGTGCTGCCCTGCAGCCCTGCGCGCCCTATGCGCCCTGCTGTCCTGCTGCCCTGCAGCCCTGTGCGCCCTACTGCCCTGCTGCTGCCGCTACAGCCCTTGCTGCTGCCCTGCGCGCCCCACGCGCCCTGCAGCCCTGCTGCGCCCTGCGCGCCCTGCTGCCCTGCTGCCCTGTGCGCGCCCTGCTGCCCTCTGCACGCGCCATGCACAGCCCCCCCCCCCCCCCCCCGCCCCAACCCCCCCCCCCCTCCCTTCTTCTTCCTTCCCCTGCTGCAGGTGCAGCAGTGGGGTGGGGGTATGGGGGTGGCGGGTGAGGGTGCAACTGCGGGGTGGCGGGTATGGGGGTGGCGGGTGTGTGAACCATCCCCTCCTCCTCCTCCACCTTCGTCTCCCACTGCTGCAGCTGCCGCTGAGGGGGGTGGGTGTGTGGGAGCCGAGGGAGTGGTGCTAGGGGGGTGACGTGGGAGTGGAGCTAGGGGTGGAGCAAGGGGTGTGTGAAAGGGGGGTGGGACAGTTCTGGGGGAGGTTGAGCGGAGGTAGCCGTTGTGTCGCCAGCAGCGCCAGTAGTCCGGAGGCTACAATCTCCGGTAGCCCAGCGAGCCTGCTGCGCCAGTCGCCTGTGGGTCCGTTGCTCCTGCCGCTCAGAGTTAGCCGCAGAGCCAGTTACTCATGTAGTCCGGGGATACGGCCCCGGTAGCCACAGTGCGCGCCGCTCCTGTTGCCCGTGTATCTGCAGCATCAGTAGTCGCCTCCTATCTCCTCTCCTCTCACAGTCCAGCCTCCTCTTCACTTGCCCTTTGTGAATGCCCCTAGCTCTGCCTGTACTGTGATCTATCTATATACCTGCATGCTTGCACTTGTTAGGGTATGATCATTGTATTGTTTGTTCTCTTTATATAACTCTGCATGTGAACTGGCCTTGTGGCCCTTGTCAGAATGAAGAAGTGATTGAACTATGAAAGATGAGAGTACAAATATGAAACCCTAGAGTTGTGTACCCCCTAAAGGCTAACCCACTATAGCCTACACATCAATAACATATATGATAATGTTTGACACACCCCCATAGGCAAAGTGGGGGAGAGCAAGGGGTCACAAGACCAGTCAAGAAAGGCAAAGCAAGCTCAGGGTGGATCACAACGTCACCACACAGTCTGAGCACAAGCAAAGGGCCTCAGGGCCAATTCAAATGCAGAGGCATATATAGACAACACAAACAGCAAGGTGATCTCAACCTAACAAAACAAACAAGCAGGTATATATATATATAGAGATCACAGTACAGACAAAGCCTACAGTAAGTGAGGAACAGTGGGCACAAGCCCCAGGACAGTACAGAAGCGCTGATGATCACCAGGCTGAAGTGCCTTGGTGAATATATCAGCAGTGTTGGCCCGAGTGGCCACGTAACGCAGACAAAGCTGACCACGCTGCTGCAGCTCTCGAGCCAGGAAGTAACGGAGAGCGATGTGCTTCGTTCTGTGCTCCAGTCTGTGCTCCTGACACAAGGCAATGGCAGCCTTGTTGTCGACGTACAGCACTGGAGGAGAACTAGGCCGCTCTCCCAGGTCAGTCAGAAGGTAGGTCAGCCAGCGTAACTCCTGTGCAGCCATGGCTGTGGCGTAGATCTCAGCCTCACAACTGGAGCTGAGAACTGAAGACGAGCGAGTAGAGCGCCAAGAAACTGAACCAGAGCCAAGGCTGAAGGTGTAACCCTGTGACGACCGCTGAGTAGCCTGGTCGTCAACCCAAGAAGCGTCTGAATGCCCAGTGAGAACAACTGAGCGCCTCCCTCCAAGCACGAGCCCCATGCCCGATGTACTGCACAAGTAGCGCAATACCCTCTTTGCAGCATCCCAGTGCACCTTTCGGTGCCTGCCAGGAGCCACGTAGCGGGCCAGAAGGCCAAGAGGGTATGCTAGGTCAGGACGAGTGCAAGTCATCAGGTACATGAGGCAACCAACTAGCTCTGGGTAACGACCACTAGGCTCTACGGACTCATCCGAAGGCAGAGCTGAGAGCGAGTGACCTATAGCCAGAGGAGTGGCCTGTGCTGAGGACCAGGTGAAGCCGAAGCGCTGAAGGACCTGCTGCACCATGTGTGACTGAGTCAGTGTGATGGTGCGGCGTGCTCTGTCCCGGGTGATCCGCAAGCCAAGATAGCTTGTCAGTTCACCCAGGTCTGTGCACGTGTGTCTCTTCTGCAGCTCCGACTTCACGTGGGCGAGAGCCTCAGTGTCAGCAGTGGCAAAGACCAAGTCGTCGACGTACACGAGGATGTAGAACGGCGGGAGTGAAGTGTCGGTGCGCAGGAACAGCGACGGGTCAGCAGTAGAAGACGAGAACCCAAGAGCCGCAAGTGTAGTCCTCAGTGTGTCGTGCCACTCACGTGGAGCCTGGCGGAGACCGTAGACCGGCCGCCGGAGGCTCCACTGGGTACCAGGAGGAAACGACCCAGTGAAGCCAGGTGGACGGCGCAGCCAGATCTCCTCGTGCAGACTGCCCTGCAAGAAAGCTGTGCTGAAGTCAAGAGAGTGAAGCTCGTAGTCACGCTGAGCGGCAACGTGCAGTAGCACCCGAAGAGTGGTCATCTTCGGGGTGGGGGAGAAGGTCTGAAAGAAGTCTACTCCCTCTCGCTGACTGAAGCCTCGAGCGACGTACCGAGCCTTGAAGACAGGCGGAGAACCTGGCGGCCGCTTCACCCTGAAAATCCACATGCCACTGACGATGTTCGCCCCAGGAGGGGGAACCTCGTCGACGTAAGTGCCAGTGGACTTCCAGGATGCCATCTCTGCATCCATGGCTGACTGCCACTGAGAGGAGTACTCACCCGCGATCGCCTCAGCGTAAGAGCGCGGGGTCGGGATGTCTGGAGCATCCGGGTCTCCCTCAGGTGCAATCAGCATGGACACGAGATGAGGTACAGCGGCGGCAAAGCATTCAAACTCCTCCTGCCTGTCCTCAAGAACGTCCGTGCCAAGAGCACACTCACCCCCGACGGACGGAGGACAGACAGACTCAGACTCAGCAACAAGACCGGCAGCGTAGTCTAGTCGACAGTGAGCAGCAAAGTCAACAAGCTCAGTGACTAAGGCAGACGCAGCAGCTGACTCAAAGGAAGGGTCAGTGACAACTGTGGACAGGAGACGCGCGACAGTAGGACTAGCAGCACGAAGAGAGTCAGACTCTGGGTCAGCAGGGGCAGGAAGGGAGGACGCAGGAGGAGAAGGGAGAGGGACACGCCGTGGAGCAGTGGAAAGACGAAGCAGCATCGGGTGAGTGCCGGGGACAGCAGGAGGACGCTGACGCGGGACACGACGACTAGGGCGAGCAGCACGAACAGGTGACGCAGAACGAGACTCAGGTGACACAGGACGAGACTCAGGCTCACGACGCTCTGTAAGACCTCCTGTCGGACCAGTGTAGGGAGAAGGACCAGAAAGAGGTGAGGTGGGCTGGAACGGCGACTGTGGTCGGACAGGCGAAGGACACCCTAAGGAGGGAGCAGGACAAGGAGGAGGCGGCTGACCAAGAACCTGCCGAAGAAGCGGAACGAAGTACGGTCGCGGCCGTGACGCTCCCCCAGAACCAGCAGAGACAGCACCAGAACCTCCAGCAGCAGCTCCAGCTCCCGCAGCACCAGTAGCACCTCCAGGAGTGCCAACCCCAGGACCTCCAGTAGTACCAGCGACAGCAGCACCACCAGTCCCAGGACTAGGAGCACCACTAGGAGCTACAGCAGCTCCAGTACCCCCAGCAGCACCTCCAGCAGCTCCAGTACCTCCACCAGCACCAGCAGCACCGCCAGCAGCACCAGTACCTCCAGCAGCACCAGCAGCACCTCCAGCAGCCCAAGTACCTCCAGCAGCACCGGCAGCACCGCCCGCAGCTCCAGAACCTCCAGTAGCACCAGCAGCACCAGAAGCACCTCCAGTAGCTCCAGTACCTCCAGCAGGGGGTAACTCAAAACGAGGGGCTCCACTCCGGAGGCCGCAGCGCCGAGCGTACCACTCACGTAGTCGCTGTGGAGAGGGAGCACCAGCAGGGTCACCACCCCCAGGCTCAGCACCCCGAGGCTCAGCACCCCCAGTCGCAGCACCCCAAGGCGCAGCACCCCCAGTCACAGCACCCCCAGGCTCAGCACCCCCAGTCGCAGCACCCCCAGGCTCAGCACCCCCAGTCGCAGCACCCCCAGGCTCAACACCCCCAGTCTCAGTGCCCCCAGGCTCAGCACCCCCAGTCTCAGTGCCCTCAGGCTCAGTACCCCGCTCAGGACCAGAGTCAACAGCTACCTCGACAGGCTCGACTGCGTCTACCTGGGAAACACCGGAGGGAGCAGGACCCTGGGGAGGGAGGGGGTCTACCGGAGGGGCACCTGGGGTGAGGAAGAGAGGCGGGGGGGGGAGAGGAGCAGTACGGTAGGGGAACAGACGGTAGAAGGGTACCGACTCGTCAAAGGTGACGTCCTGAGACGCAAAGACACGGCGCGAGGTGGGGTGGTAAAACCGCCAACCAGGTGCGTCGGGGACAAAGCCAAGGAAGACACAAGGCACAGCGCGGGCGGAGAGCTTGTCCGCAGTGGTATCACGGACAAAGGAACGAGCACCCCAGACACGGAAACGCGACGCATCGCCAACCTGCCCCGTCCACAGCAGTGTGGGCGAGGTCTCCGGAGCGGAGACACGGGGCCAGAGGTTGAGCTGATGCGCAGCGTACTGGACCGCAAACGGCCACAGAAAATGGGGGGCAGCCGCATGGATCAAGGAGGTACGAGCGATCTCCATGACCAAGCCAATGCGGCGCTCAGCAACCCCATTCTGCTGAGGAGAGGCCGGAAGCGTGAAAGTCTGGCGGATGCCGTGCTCCGCACAGTAGGCTGCCAGGAGGTCAGAGGAGAACTCACCACCTCGGTCAGAGTGCAGACGCAGGACGGGAAAGTCCGACTGGAACCGGTCGCGGAGCTGGAGACGAGCAGCGCGGATCCAGGGGATCAAAACATCAGGGACCTCACCCTTGGTGTGCAAGGGGAAGACCGTGGTGTAGCGCGTGTAGTCGTCGACAACCAGCAGGAAGTACCGCTCGTGGCCCTGTCCACGGACGCGGGCTGGGCCCCACACGTCCAGGTGGAGAGTCTGCAGAGGAGCCTCTGTGGGAGGGAACGAGGAGGAGTGAGGAGCGGCGCGCTGCCGCCCCTCGACGCAGGGAAGACAGGGAGGAGCAGGCGAGGGTGGGAGGGGAAGGAGAACCCTGGGAAGACCAGAGACAAGGTACCGGGAGTGCATGCCACGAAGGCGCTGCACTTACGGGTGACCAA